ATGAGAGAGAAACATCGATCAGCTGCCTCCTGCACACTCCCTACTGGGGATGTGCCCACAACCAAGGTACATGCCCTTGACCGGAATCAAACCTGGGACCCTTGAGTCCGCAGGCTGATGCTCTATCCACTGAGCCAAACCGGTTAGGGCAAAAAGCTTTGTTTTTTGAGAATGATGAGTGTGTATATTTGTAAAGTGGATTAAACACACACACACACACACACACACACACACACACACACACACACACTCACCAGCAAAGGATAAAGACAGAGGAACATGAACAACTTACGAATCCGATTTTAGTGATAAAGCCTTTTTTCCTACTCCTCGAGCATTTTACCTTTACACTGTAATTAGCAAAAACCAGATCCCTTTTAACATTGCTTACAAGATTGACTCTAGGCACAAATGGAATACTAAAGCATTTCACAAGTCAAAATAGCTTTCTAAAAACAGTTTATTGAAAATGGCTTAAATTGTTAATAATTTTAAGAACTAACATTTCTGGCATGACATCCAGCTCACAAACAATCCTAGATTGAATGTAATATCAAGCACTCTTTTACACACACACACACACACACACACACACAATTGTATTTCATAATAAAGTTATCCATGTTATAAGAATTGCACAGTTATCAAATAGTGTGTCTAGTTTATCTGAATCTTTGGCTTACTTATATAATTTTTACTCAAATATGGGAACACTGTGGGTGGTTTATTATATAACAAAAATAGGAGCAGTTTGGCATTGGTGGGATATTTATAGCAAGTGGAACACTTGAAATATATGAACTTATTACTTCAAAATTATGAACAAGCTGCTTATATATGAACACAATTGAAATGGTCAGTTGGTTAGAGCTTTTGATATTTATTTTTTCCAAGATCCACGGGCATAGCTATGTGTATTTCCTTGGATTAAAAATAAAATGATTTTTTAAAACAGTGGCATAGGCAGAGCATTGCCTTAGAACAAACGCTGCAAAGACTTCTCACTCTCCCACTCCTCCTCTAAGTCCCTTACTGTAACAGCCTTCTTCCTTTCCCTTTGCTCTTCTCTGTGTCTCCCATTTATTTATTTTTTGGCTCTGGTATCTATGATAATTGCTAGTTGGATAATTCAAGAAGGGTGTCGAAGGAAGATGTCTGCTTTTAATACTCTCTCCTTCCTAATAGCAGTAGATCCAGACACATTCGTCTCTATTTCAGAGAATGTACCACATCGAATATAGGAAGGAAGGACAGTTAGGTAACAATCCTTAGCTATTACTTTTTGGCTCCATTCTTCCAACAAAGAAAATCTCTTTGTAGCATTTAAAACAATTAAACAGATAACTGTGCAGACTTGACACTTTGTACTCCACTGTTATACTTTTCAATAGATTAAATTGGGTATAATTTGTGCTGTTCTGAATTTGCTCTTCCTCAAGTGCATGCAAAATGAAATCGATTACCATAATTCTTTTTAAAAAAAGTTTTCCGAACTAGGTACTACTCTTTTAAAAGCCATTTTACAGGCAAATCCAACCTGGAAAGGAACAATAATTACCTGCCAAATATTTTTAATTAAATTTTCGTGAAAACTTGAATATTTTATATATTTGCTTTTAAATTTGTGCTGTTTCTGTACCATAAAGTGAAGCAGATGATATAAAAGATGATCTTAATTATTTAATAAAATATTTGCTTCGATATTTAAAGATCTCAGTGAATTCTCCAAACTACATTGAGTCTACAGTCATTTTCATACAATTGGAAACACTCTGCTAGTTGATTCTGTAATGAGTTATTGTAGGGGCAGAGACAGATTACAAGATAATTTTTTCCTATGACATTCAATATCCACTTGACGGATTTGGAATTATAAGTTAGGTACTCTAGAGATTTACTAATTCCTGTAGAGTATTAAGTTGCATTTTGAAAATATGCTACTTGTTGAAAAATAGGGCCTGTTAACAGATGCATGGGACCAGCAGTTCTTTAGTTCTTTTTTTTTCTGATGTGGATTATGGGGAGAAGAGGGAATTAGTAAATGAATCACTTACTCAACTTAAATAAATATAATTGTGCTTAAAAATCAATAATGCAATTTTATTTCAATATATTTTCTGTTTATTCAATAACTACTCATCTGCCTACTATATGCAAAACACTTTAATAAAAATATTGAGGATTCAGTGACAAATAAGTATAAATGTATATCCACCTAATCATGAAAATATACAGGAAAATAAGCATAAAGCCAATTAAAGTGCTTTGGAGTTTAGTGGATAGAAGAGAATCTTTTTTAGTTTGGCAATTTATCAAAGGTGATATCAGAGTAGTTGTGGAATTTATTCATAATGAAGGTAGAAAATTAATTTCAGGGACAGGCTGAAGTAAATAAGAGGATAGAAAGCTAGGTTGGTTAAGTTTTTTAAACTTTAATTTTTGTGAGACTTTCTGACCTTTCTTCATGTGAGAGTTACACACCCCCCTCCCCAACCACCCATACCTGGAGGGAAAGCAGTGTCCTTATCTACAAAGATCCGGGACAGATAAAGGATCAGGCATGAACAGCCTTTATTAAGTTTCCCGCAGTTTACTATGCACAGCTCATACTCTTTGACCTGTCATATCTTTCCATTCTTTATCAAATCTAGCATAAGAACTCTCAGGTTTAACCATTTCTTTGTGTTTTTATTTCCTTGGGAAGGCTCCCATGTCATGTAAAACACCTTCTGGAGTGCTAGGTTGGTTTCTTATTACATGAAAAGGCTCTATATCCTCTCCAACTTTCTCCAAAATTTTATAGTATATTCTGGAGACAGTCATTGAAATAGTGCTCAGTGATTATAAATATGTGCTTGACAATTTACCTAGAAATAGAAAGACACATATGTATATTTTCCCTTGGGTAATTTTTTACTTTTATGATGAGTGGGATCTTTGCATATTTCCTAGTCATTATATTCTTCTAACTTCAGGTTTGGGAGTCAGAGTGCTTATGTCTTTTAGGAAAACCAGGCAACATGTCATATCTATAAAAAATGATCCTTGCTCCTATAAAGTGTTCTTGATAGCTTGTCAGTGGGGCAGAGAAGACTGGAAGAGTCCTGGATTGCTTTTCAGCCAAAACAGGTTCACCTCAATGAACAATGGCAGTGACAGTACACTCAGGTGTCAAGTTAGAATCAAAGTTTTAGACCATTTAGCATAAGTCAAAATTCAGGCATGAGTTAAGTTGATGTCTTTACATATATATTATTTGTCTCTTGGTTTCCCAGCAAAAGGGATGTATAAGATGTATAACAGTTTTTATTATTTGTCAATGTTGGGAATTATACTTGAGAAGAGATGATTCATTTTCCATGGGTCTTAGGACTTGTTCAGTAACTGCTTGGAGAAAGAGGTTGTCTGATCTGAATTAGAAAATGGTGTCAATGTTCTTTGCTCCTACCAGTTTCCTACTGTAACCTATTGTTTTAAATGTTAAAATGGGAACAAATATCTTTATCTAATAGTAGTAATAAGAATATTAGTATTTATAATATGTTTCAAATATATGCACCAGCTCATAAGCAGCACAAAGTCTAATATTAGAATAATGTGGTGATGCATCATTCATTTTAATGAATCTATAAATTTCTCTCCACTTTGTACTCTCCTCCCATTTATTTATTTTTTTTGTTTCTTGATATTGATTTATCTTCTTTGTATCAATTTCATACAGCATGGTTCAATAAATATTCCTTCTTATTTTCATTTGTGTGAAAGTATCCCTAGCATTTATCTATTTCATTTGCTAACTAATGTGTTGCACATGTAATCAAGCCTCTGTGTTTTCCTCTAAGGCAGTGGTCGGCAAACTCATTAGTCAACAGAGCCAAATGTCAACAGTACAGCGATTGAAATTTCTTTTGAGAGCCAAATTTTTTAAACTTAAACTATATAGGTAGGTACATTGTTATTAACTTAATTAGGGTACTCCTAAGGCTTAGGAAGAGCCACACTCAAGGGGCCAAAGAGCCGCATGTGGCTCTCGAGCCACAGTTTGCCGACCACAGCTCTAAGGCATTTCATTCTTTTTATGACTGACTTTCAAGTTTTGCTTCTTCCCCTTTAGTTTATCAGCTCATTATTCTTTTATGTGTTCTCCTACACCTCATTTAAATCCATTTTTCATGTTATACTTCTTTCCATGTTTAATTTCTTATTCTGTCACACTTAAGTTTATTTGAAAAAAATGGCTGCCTTATAGTAGTATTGAAACTCTTATCTATCTGAAGAAAAGAAGATTAATATGGTTAAATACCCATGATCCCAGCACTTATGAAATACAAAGTTCACTTTCCTTTATAAAATAGCAAGTTATAAAACATTTATTGTTAATAAAATTTAAAGAAGTGGGGTAAATAAGATACTTATAATGGCATAGGACTATTTATTGTATGACCTCAGGAAAAGAAAAGATACATAAAGTTTACATAGCATGCTTTCAACCATGTGAGGTAATTTAAAAAGACTAAATGGGAATACATGAAATGTTAGGAGTGGTTATCACTGGGTAATTAAATTAGGAGACATTTAAAATATTTCTCATTTTCTTGTATTTTAAAAAATGTTCTACACTTAGCACGCCCTTAGTATTATATCCAGAAGACTTGTGAGCTAAAGAATAAGGCTTAGTTTAGAATATTTTATTTACTAATTTTAAATGGAATTTTCATAAAAATTAAGCAAATTTATCCACATATTGGACATGACAATCATGTCATTTTTCTTTCTTTTATCTGGGGGTATTTCAGCATTCTAAGAGGCTTTACAGTAAAGTTTTATTGGCTTTATAATTTGTAGATGGGATGGGAGGGTGGACATAATGAGAGCTGGGAGGAAGAAGAAAGATTTAAAGGCAATTTAATGAATTATCTGCATCATGACTGTAAAGTGGCTGTCTATGGCCTTCATTTACCAGAGACATGATAGAGTATTTTCTTCTCTGATTTCTGCAGGATCAAGTCATGGGTGGATAAGATGCAAGAAGACCTTGTCACACTGGCAAAAACAGCAAGTGGAGTCAATCAGCTGGTTGATGTGAGTAGAACCCAAATAAACTCAATCTTTTCTTTAATTTGAATGCAGTTCTAGCTTCTAGGAAGCTGTTTTTCTATATCATAAAGAAGATGTTTTTTGTGTGTGGATCTGGTGGTGAAATTCTGGAAGAGACCCTTGGTATTGCTTGGTATTGTGAGAAAGAAACATCATACCTAACAACTGATAATGCTTTCTCACCACACACTTTACAGTTTAAAAACAGCCCTCACATACATGATTCCATGTGTTACCCAGACTCCCCTAAAGTTTAAATTGGGATGTTACCTTTTTGTTCTCCAGACTATAGTGTATAATCTGTCATATAGTGGTGGCTTTAGGTACTGTGATGAATTCCTTTGAATGTCCTCAGTGGGAACACTTCTTCATTTTTTAATGGTAGATTTTATTTTTAAAGAGAGTTGAAAAGTGTTCACAGCCATGTCTGGAGACTAGAGTGTGTCATTGATATGGAGAGTAAAGATTTTGGTGTAAGAAAAAGAGTCACTGTAAAATATGATTTTTCTTAGGATTTATGCAATGATTATGAAAGTCACTATTAAATGATTTTTAAAGGTAATAGTATTATATAAATATTTATGTATCATCTTAGAAAGGTGATTTTTCTTGGGTAAGAACATTTTTATTGTAGGTTTTGTATTTACTAAACATTAAATGTTATTGCTTGAGTGTCTCACTTCTATTTCAATGTCAGTAATGCAACAATTTGAAAGTATTTTTGTCTTGTGACCTTAGTGATGCAATGAGGCCTTTTATTTTCCAAAAATGAGATGAAATGTATTAAAGCAGACTTATATGTATGATACATGAATACTTATGATGTGGATATTTATGTGTGAATACTTCTTTCTAGAGAAAATGGAATGTATGGTTGGTTACCATATATATTAATAGAAATTCATAAAGGAACCTTATTAATTAAGCAGATACTTAAAAAAATTATTCCAGAAACTGTGTACAAAACAATCATAGGTTTCCATCCAAGAGTATGTTGAACAAACTTAAATATCTGTGAGATGAAGATATTTGGAAATGAAAAATGTTCCTTGTGAATAACAATGATCAAATTTAGTTTAGTCAACACGTATGTCCCAGGTCCTGTGCAGGCTACAAGGGTTGACAGAGAACAGTTCCTTTCCCCAGAGAACTGACGCTCTGCTAATCTACTATGTGGGCCCGAAGATGCCTGAAAGCTCCTGGTAGCTGGTGCTGGAGGTCTGCAATGACTTATTGTGGGGAAATATATAAGAACATGAGCGTGTACAAGCTAATACGTGAGCCTCTATGAAAGTGATGGAGTTTGTGGGATGAGAAAAAAAAGAGATGCGAATTAACAGGCTCTGGTTAGAAGCTATATGAATCTTTTTATTGACAGATTGAGATTAAAAATAACTGCTCTTGGGAGCGCTCCTTCACTCCTCCTGTGCTTCTGCAGCCTCAGAAACCACTTTCTTGGCTGACCTCATTTTTACTTTTTGTGTAAATATGTGAACCTTCTCTCACTGAAGCTGCTTTTGCAGGGAATCATTATGCAACCAAAAAAGTCTCACCTGATTTCCACTATGCTTTCGCGAAGTGTAGCTGACTAAGAAGAGTGTAAAATTGTTAAATGAATAAATGGCTTTGTCTGAATATGGATAACAAAATAGAATGGAGAGGATGGAAGAAAATTCCCACACTTTTTCTGTTTATGAGGCACATACATAACTACAGTGACAGAAAAAATACAATTAAATAATTTGTTTTGTTATATGTAACAAATGAGGAGAGAGAGATAGAATTGATTATTGGGAAAATAATTTGAGTATTAGGTCACATGAAGAGCGTCATTTTGCGTAGATAAATGATCCATATGCCTCTGTGCTTTTGCCTGGAGAGATGGTTCATGTGCGGGCTTTTGGCTGTGGAAATTTAAAGCAGAGACTGGCTGAAGGATGCTATAGTGGATAGTGGACTTTGAGCTAACTACGGCCCGCGGGCCACATGCAAATACAAATATTGTATTTGTTCCCGTTTTGTTTTTTGACTTCAAAATAAGATATGTGCAGTGTGCATAGGAATTTGTTCATAGTTTTTTTTTTAAACTATAATCCGGCCCTCCAACTGTCTGAGGGACAGTGAACTGGCCCCCTGTTTAAAAAGTTTGAGGACCCCTGCAGTGGACTTTGAGCTGAGATTGGGTGTATTGGATACAGGGCGAGGAACAAAAGTTGAATAAACGAAGGGATTTAATAGGTTTCTGGATTGAAATTCAATATTATGGAAATGATGGTTCTTCCAAAAGTATTTAATGTAATTATTTTTACTGGTTTTGCAGGATAGAACTACCATTTTACCTGAATACTCATATGCAATTGTAATGAGGCAACTTAGCTAAAATAAGACATCTTTACAATTTAATGAAAATTAAAGTTATTTGCCTAACTTCTGTTAAAGATACAGCATGAATAAGGTTAAGTAGTGCTATGTCTTAATGAATTATTCCATTATCTAATCATTTATTAGAAGACAACATGTCCATTAATTGCGTATGCTCAGACGCAAAGTACATGAAATAATTGAGGGAAGAAAAGAAATAAAATTAGGGAAAAGAGACAGTAATATGTTATAATTTTGCTTAGTGAATTTAATATATTAGAACCTTTCAAATACAACTGAAAGACTTCATTTGTTTTTCATTAGTTCAAGAACTGCACTAAGCCCTTTGCATATGGTATTTTATTAATTCTCAGGACAACCTTGTAAAGTGAACATCATCATCTTTAATATGCATGAAGCATTTGCAATGTTAAATTTTGGTTCTAGGCCACACAGCTACTAAATTGAATGTACTAGTGACTCCAAAATTTTTAAAAAATATATATAGTTATGCTTTAGAGCAGTGATGGCAAACCTATGACACGCGTGTCAGAGGTGACACGCGAACTCATTTTTTGGTTGATTTTTCTTTGTTAAATGGCATTTAAATATATAAAATAAATATAAAAAATATAAGTTCTTTGTTTTACTATGGTTGCAAATATCAAAAAATTTCTATATGTGACACGGCACCAGAGTTAAGTTAGGGTATTTCAAAATGCTGACACACCGAGCTCAGAAGGTTCGCCATCACTGCCTTAGACGAAGCTGTCAAACTCGCGGCCCATGGGCTGCATGCCTTGTTTATTTGGCCCGTGTTAGCCTTTGAGTTTGACATGCTTGCATTAGACTGTAAGTTAATATTTTACCTTTTTATATTGCTTCTTGTACACTGAGTGGCCAGATTATTATGACCGGCCAGATTATTATGACTACCCCATCAGTACAATGAAGTGAATTAGTTATGCAAATAATAATAATAATAATAAAACCTTGAGAGTATTTGCTTAGGAAGTTTTCAATATTCAGTATTTTTGGAAGTGTCAATGAAGTACTAATGGGGTGGTCATAATAATCTGGCCACTCAGTGTAAATTAGAAGAAGCCAAAATTCGGCTAGCAGTTACCCACTCATGAACATTTCTATTTAAATTTATTTTTAAAAAGAAAGTATAGAAAGATATTGTAAAATGTAAATTTACATGCAGTATGTAAAATCTTCCATCATTGTTGGTATGCACAGACATGGTTTTGTGTGTATATCTATTGAAAGAATTGCTAAGAGTGGTACAGAAAATAGTTTTTCTTGATTTTGTCTTTATGGTCTTCCACTTGAAGAAAATACACTTATTCCAATTGATAGTTTTGTGATCTGCCGAGATGTTTCATCTCATGGAGTTGTTGAGATTGATGACATATCCATATATAATATTTATTGACCTGTAACCAGAACTCAAGAAAGATCATTCCCCCGTTGTATTAGTCAAGAGTATTGTATTATACTAGAGGCCTGGTGCATGAAAATTTATGCACTCAGGGGTGGGAGTCCCTCAGCCCGACCTGCGCCCTCTTACAGTCCTATAGCCCTCACGGGATGTCCTATTGATGGAGCGCTCCCAATATTCTCTCAAAGACATAAATATGAAATGTGTCTAAATATTGAGCATTCAGTTCTCTTAATTAAGTTAGTATTTACACAAGGATTTTGAGTGAAGAATTTCATTAGTAACTCAAGGGGTTCACAGACCAATGCTTTTTCTTTGACATTGTGGTCACATGATCTTATGTAAATAGAATGTTCATTTTCTAGGTGGTAGAGAGTTTAATATATTTATTTATTGGCAAAATAAGATACTCTATAGCAGAACATAATTAATCACTGGTGATTCTGAGTAGGGATTTAGCAAGATGCAGAGTCAACAGTAAGGATGGGAATCTTTTTTTCTCCTCGGGAACGCTGCTAAGTAGCTGGTGATAGTAGATTTCCTTTACCTGCTTGTCAAGTGAGATAGTAATACTCTCCCTCACAGAAACGTTGTAGGGGTAAAAGGAGTATAAAATGCAATGTGACAGCAATAATAGATGATATTAAAAAGTTAATGCTTACTTCCCTTTAAAATGTAGTTTTATATTTATATTACTTTAAAAGTAATATAATTATTTAAAAAAGTAACCTGAGTACTTTATAAAAATAATAGTATTACTTTTCAAATATAGCTTATTTATTTCATGTTTTGGTTTTGTTCAGAGTTGCCTTACACCTCCAACTAGGAAATGTTGTGACTAGTTACCGTAATAACAGGCAAATTGAGATTATTGTCATCTTAGGGAAAAATACATTACCCTCCCCCGCTAAATGAAGAGAAATCTATTGAGACTGCAGAATGTATTTCCACAGAGAGAATATGGACTCTGTTATTTTTGTGTATGTGTGTTTTGTTTCTTTTAAACAGTGGTTAGTTACATCTGTTTTCAAAGACACGAAAGAAAATGAATTCTAAAGGGGTTTCTAATCTTATGATAACTTTCAATATTTTATTAACAGGTTTTTATCGGTTCATAAACATTAATAGTGAAAGACTACTAAAATGATTTCTTTTTTTACCATACTGATCTGTTCTATTA